GGGGGGCGCGCAGGAAGACGGTGTAAAACGCAGTCTTCTCCATCTGTGCACCTTTTCTGTTCCAGGTTAGCGGGAGGTTCTCATTCGGTTTCCTTTCCGTGAAGCCGGCCGCCAGCATTTCTCCTGAAGAAATGCGTATAGAAAACCTGGTGTGTTTAAAGTGCAAAAGCCAGTTCCTGGGCTATGTCTCCGTGCTGCTGTCCCCGGTCCCCAAAGCACAAACCCTGAGCTGCAGGTGGCACCGAGGAGACACGGAGGAACCTTCTGGGGGCTTGGGACAGAAGGGACAGACTAGGGAAGCCACACTGTGCCCTCTTATGTGGCTGTTAAGAGAGAAGAGCCGCATCATCTGGCCTGGAGACATGTCCTTGGGTGTTTGGGGTCAGAGGGACAAAGCAGTGTTTATAGTGGGACTCCCAGTGTGCGTGTTTATATAATCGGGTTGCCAGATGAGATGTAGGGTTCCCCGTGAAATTTGAGTTTCAGGGCCACATTTTTCTAGTATAACTGCGTCCCATGCAATTATTCTGTAACTGTTTCTGTCCCAAGTAATGCATTTTTACTTGCTGGATCTGGCAACCCCGTGACGTAGGGGTGGGTAGGGGTGGGGGAAAGCGTGGAAAGAAAACGCGGATCGTGGGTGGCCAGGGTGTGCGGCCCCAGTACCCCCACCAGCTGTGGAGCTCGCCGCCTTTGCAAAATGGTGCCCTCGTGTGCTCGTAGAAGTAGCTAAAGAAGTTAGAAAGGAACGTTTAGGTCTTTTTTTTTTTTTTTTTTTTTGTAAGGAGCGTGTGTCATATATGAAGAAAAAAAAGGCAAACGTCAGAGGAATGAGTATAGTGAGATAATATATGGGGAATGAGAAACAATTTAAGCCCCACGTGAACTTGTCCGGGTTTGCATGAGCGAAGGGAAAGTGTTCAGAGCATACTGACCAGACTGCCGGTGTGGGTGTCCTAGGGCCCCGGGGCGGGGAGGGGAGGTTGTCAGCTTTCCCCTCGTGTGTGACATTATATCAGCCGGTTACCACCACATCTCGTACTTCTGTGTTTTGAAAAACATCCGATAATGAAAGCTTGTGGTCACTGCTGCTTTTGTCTTTTAAATGAGGCCTCCGGTGTGTAAGCTTCGGAACTCCGTCCACGTGGATTCCACGCTGGGCCCTGCCTCCCTTTCCTCGTATAATCCCAGGGAAGCTCCCCGTCGGCTCCGTCTAGCTTCCTTGGCTGATTAACCATTTATAAAGAGCTTCCTGTTGAACCACGTTCACACGATGGTCCAGTAGCTCCAATGCCAACTCTTATTATTACTAGGAAATAATTTAGGATGTAAAAACTCAGCGGCCTCAAACCCCGATCTGCTGGAGGCAAGCCGCGACAGCTTGGATCCCACCCAGGACTTGGCTCTCTGGGCCTCTGCTGCCCGCTCCACCACGAGAGCCGGCCCGGCGCCCTCCGCTTCGTTCCCTCCCTCAGCACGCGTGCAGTGCTCGCGGCGTCCGTCCCCGGGCTCGGAGCC